ACCCATCCATCCAATCCATCCATCCATCCATCCATCCATCCATCCATCCAATCCATCCATCCATCCATCCATCCATCCACCCATCCATCCATCCACCCATCCATCCAATCTATCCACCCATCCATCAATCCAATCTATCCATCCACCCATCCATCCAATCCATCCATCCATCCATCCATCCATCCATCCATCCATCCATCCAATCCATCCATCCATCCATCCATCCATCCACCCATCCATCCAATCTATCCACCCATCCATCAATCCAATCTATCCATCCACCCATCCATCCAATCCATCCATCCATCCATCCATCCATCCATCCATCCATCCATCCATCCAATCCATCCATCCATCCATCCATCCATCCAATCCATCCATCCATCCATCCATCCATCCATCCAATCTATCCACCCATCCATCAATCCAATCTATCCATCCACCCATCCATCCAATCCATCCATCCAATCCATCATCCATCCATCCATCCATCCATCCAATCTATCCATCCATCCATCCAATCTATCCATCCATCCATCCATCCATCCATCCAATCCATCCATCCATCCATCCATCCATCCAATCCATCCATCCATCCATCCACCCATCCATCCAATCTATCCACCCATCCATTAATCCAATCTATCCATCCACCCATCCATCCAATCCATCCATCCATCCATCCATCCATCCATCCATCCATCCATCCAATCCATCCATCCATCCATCCATCCATCCAATCCATCCATCCATCCATCCATCCATCCAATCCATCCATCCATCCATCCATCCACCCATCCATCCAATCTATCCACCCATCCATCAATCCAATCTATCCATCCACCCATCCATCCAATCCATCCATCCATCCATCCATCCATCCATCCAATCCATCCATCCATCCATCCATCCACCCATCCATCCATCCACCCATCCATCCAATCTATCCACCCATCCATCAATCCAATCTATCCATCCACCCATCCATCCAATCCATCCATCCATCCATCCATCCATCCATCCATCCATCCAATCCATCCATCCATCCATCCATCCATCCACCCATCCATCCAATCTATCCACCCATCCATCAATCCAATCTATCCATCCACCCATCCATCCAATCCATCCATCCATCCATCCATCCATCCATCCATCCATCCATCCATCCATCCATCCATCCATCCATCCAATCTATCCAAGACCTGGGACAATCTTATCAAATTTACATCTATCAGAGACTGTGATTGTTTGGTACTTTATGTGTTCTTATGAAATGTGATTTACTGTATATGTAAATTGTTGATTTGTTTTAATGTATTTTATCTGACATTACACCTGTACAGGTACTATATCTATCTATCTATCTATCTATCTATCTATCTATCTATCTATCATACATAAATAGATTTATACACGATGATGAACTGTTTAAATCTTGTATGTAATGTGTGACTGACTGGAAAGCTTTTTTAAATTCTTTTTTTTAGTTAGCATTGCTTGTGTTATTGCAAAAATAAAATTAGAACTGAATAAAAAAATTCTGTGACTTTATAAAAATGATTAAAAAAAACATTTTTATTTGTGTGCGCATAGGGTTACAATAGCTGTAGATTTCCACATTTTCCAAAATCATATGAGAGACAACAAAGATTTTTTTATTTTTTTATTTTTTAGTATGCTTTCAAACTGTACAGAGATGACATCAATGTTATACAACATGTATAACATTGTATATCAATATGTTCAATGTCATCATTCTGAACAAGAAACAACAAAGATCTCGCGCTCGTATGCGCTGTAGTGACGCACTTCCGCCGGCGGGTGTCGCTGTGGATCCGCGTCATCACTGAGTCTCACGCGCCAAACAAGCGAGGCGGAACCGGAAGAAAACAAGCGCTGATTCAGTTTCACACTGCGAGTCTGTAAATGAGGAAGATGGAAGATTTAATATCAATAAACTGCGTTAAACTTCTGATTATCGCTTTGTTTTACACGTGTGAGTATTCAAATGATTGTTTAATGTTTAAGTGTGTGTTTGTGCGGTCACGAGACGATGGTTATTGTTCTCTCGGTCAGGCCTGAAATCAAAATAAATGCCTTTATAAATGTAGCTATGTATTATTAATATATTCACATTCATTTTACATCATAATAACAGTAAGAAGATCTTAATCTACCGTAGAATTAGTGACTGAACGAGTCTAATAGCTTACACAACACTAACAAAGAAGTTACCAGAAGTACCATGGTAAATTAGCCTGTATCTTGTACATCTAACATGCTAACAACATTATATTCTTTAAAGTTCCATTGAGTAACATGTAAATACCGTAATACATGCTTGTGTTCATTCAGGATCAGTGAAAATATGAAAGTACATTGGTATTATCACTGATCAAGGTTTGACCTCATTAAACGATTATCATTTCATAACCTTTATTATCATGTGTTTATGCCTGTTTGGGGAAATGATGTATTTTCTCCAGAAGCTTCTGAC